GTAAAGAAAGTCCATATAGTATAGGACAGAGACCTAAAACAATACTTATATTTTACAGGTAAAAATAATCATTAAAAAAGTTTTTAAAAACCCACGTTTTCTGATTGAACTAAAAAGTAGAAAATAAATGCTATACATCACAATAATGCAAGCGATCACTCTACTATAAGCGATCAAAAACGTGGGGCGCCGTGATTTTCTTACAGTTTCTAATACTGTTGACTCTCTACAGGCTCCCTAATAAAAGTCAATAGTATTATCTAATCAATAGTAATATAACTTTTACTTCGGCGCCCCACGTTTTTGATCGCTTATAGTAGAGTGATCGCTTGCATTATTGTGATGTATAGCATTTATTTTCTACTTTTTAGTTCAATCAGAAAACGTGGGTTTTTAAAAACTTTTTTAATGATTATTATTTTCTACTTTTTAGTCTTTGTCTGTTTGTTTGCATTAAAATCTTGCTATCGATTTTATCTTTTCACTTTTTTTTGGGTAAACGAAGACAACTCGTAAAAAGACAACTCGTAAAAAGACAACTCGTAAAAAACACGTTGTGTGAATACGTTACTGACTAGAACACATAGATTTGAACCCGTGTCGAGTGGGATAGCAATCGTGTGCCCAACCACTCGACCATATCGTCTCCCCCAAACTGGCCACCAGTGGTAATAGTTACCTCCTGTAAGTTTAAAGTCGGTTCAAACTAAATTATCTGCCCCTAAGCCTGTCGAGACGTGGGATCGTTCGCGTCACTGCGCGCGGCAAGAGAGAGGCGAGCTACTCGTCGCTCGTTTTTTTTTCTAATGGCTCGCAGAGGAGAATTATATATATAGATTATATAGCGGTCTAAAATGCCCAATAAAATGTTTCCATTGATCAATTTAGTAATAATAACAATTGAGTATTCTATGGTCATCCAAATGAAAGCTTCCCTGAAAATTTCAGCGCGCTAGCTAACTGGGAAGTGCCAGAAATTTCGATCGCAAGATTTGATTGGAAAAACAGAGAAAGCAAGTTAAAGAAAACGTGGGAAAATAGAACAATCAAATGAAGCACATTATTTATATCTGTATTTTACAGGTACGGAAGTCCGTTTACTATAGAACAACGACCTCAAACACATTTATATCAGTATTTTACAGGTCAGGACCGTCCGTTTACTATAGAACTGTAACCTAAAGCACAATGAAAATTTTCTTTCTCCTGATCGTCTGCTTAGCCGCATCTCATGCTCTACCCGAAGGAGGTAACGTCAGTGGTTTCTTTATTTCATTCAAAAATAGTCATGGTATGTTCATTGTATTTATATATATATATATATATATATATATATATATATATATATATATATATATATATATATATATATATATATATATATATATATATATATATATATATATATTTAAAAAAAATGGCCCGTTGAGGAAGGATACACCGGGCTCTAGGTTGATCGTGCTGTCTATTTTCTCTAAACTAAAACCAACCCCCCCCCCCCCACACACACACACCAAAACATGTCAACAAAATATAATTATATACTTTTTCCAGTGTCCGCCCCCTCCCAGAAAATTCTACCCCCGTCCCCGAAAATTTCAAGTACCCCCCACCCCTCTCCGAGGAAGAAAAAGTCTGAAAAAAAACACTGGTCGCATTTGTAGATCATACAAACTAAAGGAAGAACCTGAACGGGGCTTCGCCCCTACCGGAAGAGATGCATGAAAAGAGCTGTGCACGCTAAACACTTTTTTAGATTAGACACATTAAATAGACGGCAATTTTATTATAGAGTATCGATGAAGACATTTCTTTTGAGTTTGGTAGGGGGGGGGGGGGTCGGCTTAGACGTTCTTTCGCGAGGGTGGGGCTTCGCTCCTACCCGAAGAATTGTATGAATAAAACTCTTCACGCAAACCACTTAGATTAGACGAAATTTCCTTTTTATTCAATGTTTACTCGAGAATCAATGACGTCATATTACTGTGTGCACTCTCAGGCTTGATACTATTTTTACTCTATGCTAAATATATGACGTAATATTTCGCTTCCGTTTCACTATGCATGTTTTTAATTTGCTTGTGTTTTCTCTAGAGCGTTCTTGTCAGATAGATACATAGATAGATAGTTACATAGATAGATACATAGATACAAAGACAGCGAAAATATTATATAGATCGAGAAAAATAGCCCGTTGAGGAAGGATACACCGGGCGCTAGGTTGATAGTGTTGTCTATTTTCTCTAAACTTAAAACAACCCCCCCCCCCCCCCCCCCCCATACACACACCAAAACATTTCTACCGTTCCATTCAACAAAATATAATTATATACTTTTTCTAGTGTCCGCCCCCTCCCAGAAAATTCTACCCCCGCCCCCGAAAATTTCAAGTACCCCCACCCCTCTCCGGGGAAGAAAAAGTCTGAAAGAAACACTGGTCGCATTTGTAGATCATACAAACTAAAGGAAGAACCTGGGCGGGGCTTCGCCCCTACCGGAAGAGATGCATGAAAAGAGCTGAGCACGCTAAACACTTTTTAGATTAGAAAACGTTCCTCACTCCGGGGAGGAAAAAGTCTGAAAAAAACACTGGTGCTTAGCCACTACCCGATGAATTGCACGCAAACCACTTTTTAGATTAGACACATTAATTAGACGGTAATTTTACTATAGAGTATCGATGAAGACATTTCTTTTGAGTTGGGGGAGGGGGGAGCTTAGACGTTCTTTCGCGAGGGTGGGGCTTCGCACCTACCAGAAGAATTGTATGAATGAAACTCTTCACGCAAACCACTTAGATTATACGAAATTTCCTTTTTATTCAATGTTTAGTCGAGAATCAATGACGTCATATTACTGTGTGCATTCTCCGGCTTGATATTATTTTCGACTCTATGACGTCATATTTCGTTTTCGTTTCACTGTGAAAGTTTTTAGACGATCTACAGGCAGGGGGGGGGGGGAGAGAGGGGGGGATTAGACGATCTACGGGCGGGAGGGGAGGAGGGAGAGAGGAGTGGGATTAGACGATCTACGGGGGGGGGGGGGAGGAGGGAGTGAGGGGTGGTATTAGACGATCTACGGGCGGAGGGGGGGGGGGAGAGAGGGGTGGGATTAGACGATCTACGGGGGGGGGGAGGGAGAGAGGGGTGTGATTAGACGATCTACGGAGGGGGGGCGGGAAGGGAGAGAGGGGTGGGATTAGACGATCTACGGGGGGGGGGGGGGGAGGGAGTGAGGGTGGGATTAGACGACCAACGGGCGGGGGGGGAGGGGGAGAGGGGTGGGATTAGACGATCTACGGGCGGGGGAGGGAGAGAGTGTTATAACTGGGTTCTATATGAGTACCACAGCTATGCAGTGAGAGGGTGGAACTACCTGATCCAATACCATATTTCAACACCACTACCATCCGATTATGTTCAGCTATTCAGCAATTCATCTTGACGCACGACGACACTAACGCACACAAATGATTCGACAGAAGGACACCGTTTGCTAACTCAATTTATTGCACCATAGAAATAAACATCGGACAGCCTGAACACACGATACCAAGACTGGACAATCTAACCCTAACATCACATGAACAAGACTAACTCAAGCTTCTTTCCCCCGGCAACAACGAACTCACACTAAAACGTCACTTTCTTGCGTACCGCGTCACACTTTCACTCGTTCAATATTATCGCTTCGCACCAGCATTCATGCGCACCAATTTCCCTAGTCGAACATGCGACATATAGAGGGGTGGGATTATACGATCTACGGTCGGGGGGGGGGAGAGGGGAGAGATTAGACGTTCTACGGCGGTGGGGGGGGGGGGGAGAGAGGGGAGGGTTTAGATGTTCTACCGGGGAGGAGGGATTAGACATTCTACCGGGGGCGGGAGGGGGGTGGGGCTTTGCCCCTACCAGAAGAGAAACTCTACACGCAAACCACTTAGATTAGACAAAATTTCTTTTTTATTCAATGTTTACTCGAGAATGAATGACGTCATATTTCTGTGTGCATTCTCCGGCTTGATATTATTTTCTACTCTATGCTCAATACGACGTAATACTTCGTTTTTCGAATTACTATGCATGTTTTTAATTTGCTTGTGTTTTCTCTAGAGCGTTCTTGTCAGATACATAGATACACAGATAGATAGATACACAGACAGCGAAACTATTATTATGGATAGAATATATATATATATATATATATATATATATATATATATATATATATATATATTTATATATATATATATATATATATATGTATGTATATATATATATACATATATCTATATATATGTATGTATATATATATATACATATATCTATATATATATATAAAGCAATGTATGTGTGTGTGTCTGTCTGTCTGTCTGTGTGTCTTTTATGCAATAACAGATCTTATAACATCGCCGTAAAACTTTAAGAAGCTACTGAAAATATTCCTGGGGAGGTTTCTGCGAAAAAAAAAATTCAAATTCCAGGGGTGGAGCCCCTGCAGTGAGCGGTTTGTTTTTTCTTTATATGCGGTATATAAAAATAAAAGTCGATTTTGGTTTGACACCATTCATCCGATCGCCATCAAACTTTGGTCAGTTCATTAGAATACTTTGGGGAAGGGTTCTGTAAAAAAATCATTTTTAATTTCACAAGGGCTGTGCCACGGGAGGGTGCGATTTTTCTCTATTAACGGCATATAAAAATAATAAAAGTGAATTGCAGTGACACCTCTCATCACATCGCAATGAAATTTTGGGAAGTTGTTCAGAATATTCATGTGGAGGTTTCTGCATAAAGATCATTTTTAATTTCGCAAGGGCGGCGCCACGGGAGGGTACGATTTTTCTCTATGTACGGTATATAAAAAGAAAAGTCAGATTTGGTTCGACAACTATCATCTGAGTATCATAAAACTTTGTGGAGTTGTTGAGAATACTCTCGAAAACGTTTCTGTGAACAAAATAGTGAAAATATGATATGGGTGGCGCCTGTAAGGTGCGGTTTTCTTCATACACAATTTGGCGCCAAGAGTTCCAGAGCGGCTATGTTAGCTCGTGGCATCTGTTAATCGTGCGCCCTTCAGAGCGGGTAAGGGGTACTATTGAAGTCAGCTTAAAAACTTCAACAAGCGCAAACGTTGGCGCCCCATAGATTGCACGACCTGAAGCGCCCCGAGCACCCCTGCGAACACTTTGGCGCCTACGTTAATTAAGAAAAAGTCTATACACTAAAGACACGATGGACAAGAATAATCATTGACTATATCGAACCAGGCGCTTCCCCTGGCGCCCCTGCAGGGATCAATTTGGCGCCCTTGGCTCTCCTGTGAGTGCAATTTAACCTACGTTCGTTCTAAACAGTGCGGTAGACAATGGATAAGATGGGCCGTTACAGTCACTCAATAAATTGAATCAGACGTGTCAGCCGGTGCCCTGGTAGGGTGCGATCTGGATGCAAATAAAAAAATTAGTTTCGGACTGGCTGCTGAGGGTCCTATAATAGGTTTTTTTTAGTAATCAGGAAAATTAACCAAGGTTACATTATTAACACTGGGTTGTTTCCTTTTGTCCGTAAAAAATCCAAACAATTCCAAAGCCTACAGTTCTCAAAATAATAAAACTTTTTCCGTAAAAAATTAAGTTTAGAAGGGCTAATAAAAAAAAAATAAGTCATACTTCTAACATTAACTTTGTTACGCAAGGAAATCCTTCTGTACTGTTTCGCCACTTTGCGAATTATGCAATTAGCATCTATTATTAAACGATCCAATCATAAATTGAGATCGAGCTACTAATAATACACCATTAGTAACGCTAACAAATTGCATCAGCCAAACTGATGTTTATAACACGTCACATTTTCTTTTTTTCTACTTGTTAAAAATCCTGTTGATTTGTGTCACTTATGCGATCCACGCAAGCTGCATCAATGTTTCCTGATGCTATTTTGCGCTCTGGGTTATTCTGTGAGTACTATGGCGCCTATATTAGTTGTCGCCAGGTGCCGTACGCGACGCCTCTGCGTTAGTGTAATCAGCGGCTCTTGATAGCGCCCCTCTACACATGTGCGGTCACCGAAGTGTGTTCTACCATATTATTTTAGTGAGTGATTAACGTAAGGTTTTCATGCGGTAGTGTTGGTAGTGTACATAAACCCGTGTCCCTATATTTATGATCTAATAATAGTAAACCCTGTGTCCCGATATTTTTTATCCAAGCGCAGGCGTTGTTTACATTTTAAAAACTCACTTTTAGAAAACAAGTTCACGAGTCTAAGAATATAGGATTGGTAACGCATGGATGAAGCCTTTCTTATATTTTTCGCTGGACTATCTTCTATTCCCGTGGCAACGCGCGGGGACGAGTACTCTAGTATATATATATATATATATATATATATATATATATATATATATATATATATATATATATATATATATATATATATATAAAGCAATGTATTTGTGTGTGTCTTTTATGCACTACTTCACCTCTCATCACATCGCCGTGAAACTTTTAGAAGTTGTTGAGAATATTCCTGGGGAGGTTTCTGCGAAAAAAGACAATTTCAAATTCGCAGGGGTGGCGCCCCGGCAGGGCGCAATTTGTTTTTCTCTATATACGATATATAAAAATAAAAGTCGATTTCGGTTTCAGACTGTTCATCCCATAGGCATGAGACTTTGAAGAGTTGATTAGAAAACTACCTGGAAGGGTTCTGTAAAAAAATCACGCACGGGAGGGTGCGATTTTTCTCTATATACGGTATATAAAAATAATAAAATTGAATTTCGGTGACACCGTTCACACGATCTCTATGAAACTTTGGGAAGATGTTGAGAATCTTTCTGTGGAGGTTTCTGCGCTAAAAGCATTTTCGAATTTGCAGGGGTGGCGCCCGGCAGGACGCGATTTGTTTTTTCTCTTTTTGCGGTATATTAAAATAAAAGTCGATTGCGGTCTCACAACGTTTATCCGATAGCCATCAAACTTCAGGGACTTAATTAGAACAATCTAGGTAAGGGTTCTATAAAAAAATCATTTTTATTTTCGCAAGGGCGGCGCCACAGGAGGTTGCGAATTTCTCTACATACGGTATATAAAAATAAACATCGATTGCGGTTTCACGGTTTCATCGGTATCAAACTTTGGGGAGTTGATTAAAACACTCCAGGAAACGTATCTGTAAAAAAAAAAATCTTTTTTTTTTTAATTTCGCAAGGGCGGCGCCACGGAATGGTGGGATTTTTCTCTATATACGGTATATAAAAATAAAAAACGACTGCGGTTCGACACAGTTTATCCCGGTGCCATAAAAACTTTAGGGAGTTGATGAATACTCCCGAGAAGGTTTCTGTGGCGGGAGGGGGGAATAGGGTGGGTGGGTGGTGGGGAAGGGGGGATTTAATTTTGCATTGGCGGCCCCCCGACAGGATGTGATTTGGCGCCCTGGTCTTTCCCGTGGGAGCTATGGTGAATAAGTTCTGTTTCAACAGTGTGATAGACAACGGATAGGATGAGGCGTTAGAAACGCTTACTAAATTAAATCAGGCATGACCTCTGGCGCCCTGGTAGGGTGCTATTAGGCTGCAAATAAACATGTCAGTTTCGGCCCCCAAAAGCTCACATGGGCAGCTGAGAGCCATGTAATACGTTTTATTTTAATAATCAGAAAAATTAATCAAGGTTATATTATTAACTGGGTTGTTTCTTTTTGTCCTTAAAAAAATCCTAACAGTTTCGTCACTTTGCGAATGATGCAATTAGAATCTATTTTAGACAATCAAATCAAAAATTGAGATCGAGCATCTAATTCTAACAATAGAACATTAGTAACGCCAACATAATGCATCAGGCACAATGATGTTTAAAACACGTCAAATATTTTTTTTACGTGTTAACAAATCCTGTTAATTTGTCTCACTTTAGCGAATAACGCATTTTGTATTATTGTTAACAGGATGCTATTTGGCACGATGGCGGCTGTTAGTTTTAAGGACCCAGGGGCCGTACGCGGCGCCTATGCGGTAGTATAATCGGGGGGGGGGGGGGACTCTCGAGAGCGCCCCTCTACGTCCCTGACACATGGGCGGTCGCCAAAGTGTGTTCTACTTCATTATTTCGGTGAGTGATTAATGTACACTCAAGGTTTTCATGCGGTTGTGTCTGTAAACCCGTGTCCGTACATTTATGATCCAAGCGCAGGCATTGTTTAGATAACATTTAAATAACTCACATTTAGAAAACAAGGTCGCGAGACTAAGAATAATGGATTGGTAGCGCATGAATGAAACTTTTATGTATTTCGTCGGACTTTCTTTTCTTCTATTCCCTCGGCAACGCACGGGGATGGGTACGCTAGTATATATGTTACGGTCAAAGCCCGAAGTGCGGCCAAACCCCGGATTGGCCGGCCAATGCGCGGATTGGCCGGCTCTCTTGGCCAAAGCCCGAAGAACTTAGAACTAAGATCGTATTTCGTACATTGGCCGGCCAATGCGCGCACTGGCCGGGACGTACTGGCCAAAGTCCGAAGTGCTTAAACTTGACAGCGTATTTTGTACATTGGCCGGCCAATGTTCTATCTAGACTAAGTTGTGATCGCGTTTTCATTTTTCTGGGTGCGGTTTCATTGTGAGTAACGTATTGTTTAGCTCTTGTTTGTACAGCTCATTCTTGTGGATCCTGTGGCAAAGATGTCCATGCTATTTGTGGAGTACCCAATGAAGCAGACGAAGGGTACGGAGGGAACATTACCTGCAGATTGTGTCACAACAAACAAGACATCATGGAACACAGGTCAGCAGCTCATACTGGCTTGCAAAATCAAGGTGCTAAGATGCTTAAAACATCAAATACAAAATTTAAAGATGGTGAAGTGGGTGACAATGTACGCATCCGTGTTCCAGATGTTGACAGAGGTTGCGGTGATCCCCGAAGCGTGATTGCAGTTGTCATGAGCGTCGAGGGCGGTTTCTACAAATTAGGAACGGAACATGGTGTTCTAAAATAACTGTATGCTAGAAGTGAGTTTTCAATTCTTCACGAAAAATTGCTCTTATTGTCGTCAGTTGGCACTGAGGAAAAATCACGACGAACCATCGCATCTTCACAATCATTGACTGGGAGCCAAAGCTACACTCGCTGCAATTGCACAACCAAGTGCACAACAAATCGCTGCAAGTGTAAAAATAACAAGCTGCTATGTAATTCTAAATGCCATAAAAGTTCAACTTGTTGTAACAAATGATAATATTGATTGATTAAGACTATAGTACAATAAAATTTTTGAATGTTTCTGTCCTTTACTTTAATTAATAATCAATAAAAACTTAATTTCATGACCCTTACGGCATAAAAAAAACAAAATCTGCTCATGATCTTCTAATTCGGACTTTGGCCTGTCGTTCCTAGCCAGATGATCTTCTAATTAAGACTTTGGCCGGTCCACCATGGCCAGTCTGCGAATTGGCCGGCCAAAGGTCGAAATCAAGTAAAGTTTCGGACTTTGACCGACCTATGGGAGGTGATATTGGCCAATCCGCGCATTGGCCGACTTCGGGCTTTGACCGTAACATATATATATATATATATATATATATATATATATATATATATATATATATTTATATATATATATATATATATATATATATATATATATATATATATATATATATATATATATATATATATATATATATACATAGCCCAATATATAAAAGCACATGTGCGCATCTCTCTCTCTCTCTCTCTCACTTTTGTTAGCAAAATATGTTCACAGGCTATGATATCAGTATCTTCAGTGATTTATTGAGAACCTGATACGGACTTCTGTTGATAATAATAAATAATATGTTTGATGTTTTCAATGTATAAACTAAATTATATTTAAAGAAGAAAAATATAGGCATATTAGAATGTAGAAAACTATTTTTAATCATGCAACCAAAATAGTGTTTATAGTTGTGACGCAATAAACAATTACTTTACATGCCACATGTTTACACTAGGGAAAGACCACAACACTTATGGCGTCATCTTCCGATTTTAGAATATAAAGACATAAATTATTTATTTTCAAATTTGATTTAGAAGTAGCTCTAGATTCTATAAATCTACGTATCAAGAAATTTATTAAAATTTCTCTCGGTTAAACTAATACAAATCTAATATATAAAGCTCAGTTCTGTATGTAAAAATATATTTTTGTCGTTGACATACTTCGATGGATTAAACTGTTAGACAATTATCGTGCGCATTTGTCTAAATTTATGTGTTAAAAAATTACTATTGAAAGTGTTGGGAAATAATTTTCATTTTTCAAATTATAGTAATAATTGTCGGCATGTTCATTAAACACAAGTTTTTAAAAAAATATATCTTTTACAAAAATTCTAATTATGTCTTTATTCAGTCCTATAGCGCTTACTTCCCTTTGATAGATTAGGAGCACGCAATTACTTCCCTTTATAAAACCATTGCATTAGTGGAAAATAATTTACTTTTTATTACTTTGTTTTGGTGTTGGGAAAAAAATAATTACATAATTAGCGGGGATTGATCAAGTGCAAATGTTGTAGGTATTTTACGGATAAGCTTGGAGTATTAAAATTGTTCATTAAATTGAAACAGGCGCGTTCGTTTAAGTGAGTGCAAAAGACTCTGAATAAGTTGGGGTACTATAGTCTTTCATTAAGCTAAAACAGGTGATTCCGCCCCGGGCGTTTATGTTCGCGTTAGTGTTTTCTTTGTGTTTAAGTGGGTTTGCGTTAGTGGTTGCGTTTGGTTTGGTTCGTTTTTGTTCTTTCTTTTTTCGTTTTTGTTTGTGTTTTTTTCTTTGGGTTTGTATTTGTGTTTTTGGTTGGTTTTGCGTTTGGATTTGGTTTGTTTTCGTTTGCTTTTTCGTTGTTTTTTTGTGTTGGTATTGGTGTTTGTGGTTGGGTTTGTTGTTAGGTTTTTGTTTTCGTTTGCTTTTTTTGTTTGTTTTTTCTTTGTGTTTGTATTGGTGGTTGTGGTTGTGGTTGGGTTTGTTGTTAGTTTTTTGTTTTCGTTTGTATTTGTAGTTGTGTTAGCGTTATGTTTGCGTTTTGTTGTTTTGGTTTTGGTTGGTTGTGGTTTGGGTGGGCAATGCCGGGTTTATGATGATTACTAAACACACAGGTGATGGTCTTTAACAGAAAGGTTTTTCACAGAAGCCAGAGCATGGCCTGGCCGGGACGGCTAGTTACTTAAAAAGCAAACAAAATATGACCATTGATTAGCCAGATTTTTAACGGAATCATTTGATTCTCTTAATCAATGTGTGCATTTAAAATTGTGTTCTGTTTACTAATAATGTGTACGCACGACGTAATATACGCCGCTATTTAGTTGTTTTATTTTCTTCTTTTTAGTACTTCATAGTTAGTGAATTCAACAATACCCTCCCCCTTCCATTCCTTCCCATACAAGTTTTTACGGTAGCATATATAACTGGGTCCATATGTCGTTGTCCCTATTGAGTGAGCTATTTTGACACTGTACGATACATAACAGTTTTGGAAATTTATACTGATATTTCTTTGTTTATTTGTTGTTGAAATATGAAAATAGGGTTCCATGACAAATGATCTCAGGACAAGTGATCTCAGACAAAATATCTCAGACAAAATATCTCACGGACAAATGATCTCAGGACAAATGATCTCAGACAAAATATCTCAGACAAAATATCTCACAGTAAAATTTTAACAGTATGTACGATGATTTAAGTTGATTTGCACTTTTTTTTGACTGTCAATGTGGTTTTGTTTACTTTTTACGCGTAATAATTGTGAGTAAAATGTTAAACTTAACAAAGCATCAAAAGATGTATTACACTTAATCGTTCTAATAGCATTTGTTTTAAAAAAGTAAAAATTAAAACAAACTTACTCCTAAAAGGGATAATGAATGATAATGTATAAAACAAATAAAGTATCGGTAGCTATACAAGATTAGTGTTCAAAACACGCGAAATATTTTTAAAAATGTGAATGGGTCTTTAGGTTCGTAACGTAAAACTATTGTTTTTATTGCATCATCAACACAAACGAAACGCTTACGTTACTATGCCGGCAGGTACTTTGTTATGATCAGAAATTTCCAACTCTATGTGATCATGTATTGTGTGAACTCTTGCTCGACACTTCACATTTCCAAATCTCTTTGCCTGCTGCTCCACTTCTGGCTTTTATAAACAGAATAATGCTTTGTTTGCATGCACACTACGACAAACGTAGCTCCACTATGACCGCTGTCGTTTAAATAAGCATTTGTCACATGATCACTAAGGTTTGACCGACGCATAACTATTGCCTTTAGATGCTTGTTGTATTGTCCATGGAGGGCGGATGTCTTTCCCTTTAGGCATGTCTCTACCGTCAAAGCGGGCGGCCACCTTGATACGTAGGTGTGTCCTTATTGTTATTTCATTCCCTTTGATCTAGTTTCCTCCACCTGATACGGTAGGATTGTCTCATGTTTGGCAAGCTCACCTACGTTGTCTATCGAACAATTTCTTTAATCTTCACATACTATATTAGTAATCATAGTTTTAAAATGTTTAGTGCAATATGACAAATATTTGTGGTAAACAATTATTTAAATTATTATATAGGCCTATAAACAATATTCAATATAGACTAGTACACAATACCATATGATAGTCAATAAAAAAATGTTCCGATCAACTAAAATCATCCAATACACTATTACAATTTTGCTGTGAGATATTTTGTCTGAGATATTTTGTCTGAGATCATTTGTCTAGGTATCATTTGTCCTGGTATGTTTTGTCTTGGTATCTTTTTTCCGTGAGATCATTTGTCCTTGAGATCATTTGTCCTGAGATCATTTGTCCTGAGATTATATGTCCGTGAAATATTTTGTCTGAGATATTTTGTCTGAGATCATTTGTCCTGAGATCATTTGTCCTGTCACCGAAAATAGCCTACACCAACTGGAGTAACTAAAATACTTAAACATCAACAGGTTTGTCAAAAATAAATGGACCCTCTGATAACCAGTAAGTAGATTGTAGCAGTGTATGTGTTTATTGGTAGATACAATTATTTAAAATAAAAAATAAATACACATATTATATATAATATAAAAGATTATATAATTTAGAATAATCATATAAAATAAGGCTTGCCTGTGTTTGTAGCTATGTATGTTTGTGTTAAGACAGTGTCACGTTGTAGAAATTTTTTTGTGTTTATGTAAAAAGAGTATGCAATAGTAGCAGTTTCCGTGTTTGTGTAACTACGGTATGCAATCGTAGCAGTTTGTGTGTTTGTGGAAAGAAATTTCTTCTAAAGAGAATACAAGGTAAGAGAATATCTTACAATTATAGGATTAGAGCGTGCTTCAATGTGGCCTGAATGAATAAAAACTGGCCTGCATTCAGCTAAATAAAATAAAATTGTGTAGCGCTATTTTAGTATTTATATTTACCATTAGTTTTATTTCCTTTAGTAAGGGCATCAATAAATTTTCAAGTTACATGCGACAAAAAAAATTAATATCATGGTATTATTACTTAGAATTTTAATATATTTTCAGAAATTTTAGAATTACATGTATTTGGGAAAACCATCCTTGTGGTACTGTTGGATGGATGGTCTATGGAGATTGTTGCTCGATCTTTGAGTGCAGGTACGTTATCAAAAAAAAAAAAATCAAAGCACGCAGTTCTAATAAAAACTATAGACATTGATCTTATACAGAATATTAGAATTACTAATTATATTTAAAACACACGTACAAATGCACGCACACGGAATAGCACACGCACACATGCACGTAAAGTAACGCATACAATACATTAGCAAAGCAATTAATAAATATTAAAGACATACCAGTGGCGAAACAAAACAAAAACGCCCCCCCCCCCCCTCGCAAGCTAAATAAATTATAAGGCTTCTCGATACACGTCTGACTTTGGCAACCTAAAAGGCCTACATCTACCCATTTCCCCGTAAAGCAGTGTCTGGTTGTATAGATTTTCCGTCCTTTAGATGTACACATATATCGCATGAACACGTTAAATTCACACTTACTCGTACACGTAATAGAGAAGTCAATGGTGTGTATTATTATTACCCCTATTTTTCTTGTTTACACTAGCTGGTTTCACATTTTTAAGGTAGCTGATCTCCCTTTGTTTCCTGTTTAACAGTAGCTGGCCGAACTTTATGTTTTATTATTTTTACACTTGCAGGTCTAACTTTTGTCAGTTCCCAATATATGGAGGCGGCTAAAGTTTCTGAGCGCGGTGATGAGACTAGACGCATTTGCTGGACGTTAAAATAAATCTTTGAGCGTTTTCCTTTACTTGATAAATATTACCCTGTTCGTTTGTAACCTCAGGGTCGGTATTGTCTTAATTTTGGGTCCCTCTGTTTCTTCGTCTGTCTGCTACTGGTTTTCTGTGTTTCTGGTTGTTTGTCTGCTTGTACTGCTGTGTGTGTGCGGGTGTGTGCGAGTGTGTGTTTGTTTGTGTGTGTGTGTGTGTGTGTTTTGTAGAGTGTGTGTTTGTGCGTTTAATGACAAAATTTTGTAAAACTAAGTTAAAATACAGACATAGATTATGTATAGGCCTACACTTATAATAATATTATAAGCTATTAATTAACAGCCTAAAAAAATCCCCGATACACGTTAATAATAAATCACAAAATATCACACAATTAGTGCCGATTTATTTTTGTTATCAATAAAATAAAAATCAATTGGCTTTTAATTTTTTTATTAATAATAAATAAGTATTAAAATGTATAAAGCATTTAGGACTAAAGCAAGGCTATCCTTTAAAACAAATCGTGTGATACTCTTTCAAAAGCATCACATTCAAGTAAAATAAATGTCGATTGGATTCACAAATATCATGAGTAAAACGTCTACGATTTTACAACCGTCCAAGGGACACTAGCGTTGGTTTACTTTGTAAATGTCGACGTAACCCTCAACAATTTTAGAGTAGCCAGGGGCCATCAGCCTGCCGTACAATGTCCACTTCATCTCACTGACCAGCCTCTTGGCCTCGTTTTCCCAAGCCCGTCCGTAGTCCAGGTTCAGCACTGTCGTGCGGTAGGCGTGGATGATAAATCGAGGGAAATATACCTTGATGTAGTGGCTGTTAAATCTGGTGAAACATAAGTTTGGTCTATTGTAGGCGTTGTTAATAAATTGAGGGTGGTAAAGATGATGTAATGGTAGTCGTTGACGATGAATATTGGTCAAACATTTTTAGTCTATCAGTTGGCGCTAAGGAAATAAATTTACATTAACTCGCACTGAAATACACATGTCAAAAACAGTTATTTTAAATACATTTTTAAAAAATCAACGAAACTGTAGACAACATAGTGTGAAATCCAATATTCACCTCGGTGCTTACTCACTCCTGACACGGTAACCTTCATACTCGACCGCCTGGCTTAATGATCCCCCCATGCGATACTCATTGGCTTCATAATTCCCCCTCCACCATCTGGTACCCAACCCCGGGCTTGGTGATCCTGATCAGCTCTATCTGACAAGATGGTGGTAGATGGTTCTCACACACGGCACCGCTGATGGTGACAGCGTCGTACGTGTCTGTACAAGATTTGTACTGAACGTTAGTACACTTCATTTAATGGAATGGCGTGGTCTAGAGGTAGAACTAACACCAAAATTGAATCCAGGTTCATGTTAGTAAAACGTCCCTCAGTTCACCCAGATGGGTACCTAACTTATGTTAAGGGAAATTAGAGGCAGGTGACTTCACTATTTTTTCTTGTGCCGAGATTACAGAAACAGACGAATTCTAGTTCTATTGTTCCGTGGACCGTCCTTTTTCAAAATGGAAACTTAACTTACTTTATTTTTACACCTTCTTTGTTAAAGGAATGGTACCCACATAATGTGTATGTGGGGTTAGTTGACAACGAGCACATCAGTCTTCTGAACAAAATGTATACATGTTAGTCAATCGTTTTTCACAATAATAATAATTTTTAAAATGACTGCCAGTGCTAGCACACCGTTTGACAAAAACATTCTTAGCAATTCAATCAACACATAGCTTACTGCCAATGCTATATTTTTCGGCAGGGAACTTGATTGCTGACTTACTGTTTTTCACAGTGTTAGACTAGCATTTTAACAGTTTGATTGCTTACCGGTTTTCTCAGGGAACTTGTAGCCCTCGTCAACGATACTACAGATGAAGGACGAGTAGACGTTCTTCTCCCTGCAGATGTCCAGCATAGCCTGAGCACCGTCGTGTGCTACAATTTTCCTGAAGCCTCGCTTGTGTAGCTCTTCACCCAACCAGCCTGAAGAAAAGGAATAGTTTCATGATAAACTGATATGATTTTCGTTCTTCGGATACAACTTCGTTTTATAACTGTGTTCCACTTTAAATGAAAATAATACTTTTGTGTTTATTTTTAGCATCGTCATTTCATTGAGATAAGTGGCTTTTACCGATTTTTAAAACGATTCATTATACATTACCGTGGATAGAAGTAGGGTTGCTTCTTTCTTGTTATACTTTGTTAATTCAAGTTTTTGGAAGTGGTTCCCTACAATACAATTAAGTAGTACGTGTAAATTCTTGGTTATGCGCCATAAAAGGCGTTGACACTGATTTCGGCCTAATTTTCTTTATGGATTTGCTTCCATTTATCCAATCAAGAAAAACGACAAGGCAGCAGTTGTTTTATTATAGAGTATGATTGCGTCTGATATTAACTTTATATCGAGCATTTAATTTGTAAGATTCTCGGAGAAATTTTAAATCAAAGTCTTTCACAAACTGTATCTTATCAATCAGCCACGAATTACAAATCAGAGTTGAGGTTAGTTGAGGCGTATGGGGTTAAAGGCATGAACAATATACCCTGCATTAGTTTTAACAACCAATCTGTGCATTCAAAGCGAGACAACAGAAACCAGAGCACACACCCTAACTAATTGACGTAACTATGACGCCAAACTACAGCTGACCGTGACGTAAGAGTGACGTACCTGTCGCAGCACCAACGTCCAGCACCAGGGCCTTGGATCTGTCCTGTATGAGACCAGACAACAGGTCAGCACAGTAGAGTGGACCGCTGTAGTTCAGCCTTAAGGACAGCTCTTCGTAGACCTTCACCTTCTCCCCGTCCCCGTATTCTGTTGGTTATGGGATCGTGTAATAAATGATATTGTAGCCGTTTTCTCAATGATTGTGGTTATTGCTCTGCCAAGTATGTCGTTTTGTATATGATAGTGGGTGTCGCTTTCCAAAGACCCTAGTAAGTCGGACTCCCAAGTCCCCTACATATTAGCGTTGGGGAGGAGAGGTGCAAGACTGCCGGGAACCAAGAGGGGTTTGCTCTCGACTCTAACCAGATATCTTGACTTTAAGTTGCGGCCTTCACGTGGCTTCGGAAGAGTGCCACTAGTCGGACCAAGCTCATGACCCCCCTAGTGGGTGCGGAATGGCTAGTGGTAGCCAACAGCAACTAGAAGTTTTTGATCTGCTGTATGTGCTAGGCTCAAAAACGACCGAACCCCCCCCCCCCCTCGATCAAGCTGGGTACCTGGGTACCAGGCGGTAGGACGACGTCCCGCGTCTGGTGGATGGGGAAGGAAAGCCCGGTGAGAGCCCACGGAAGTAGCGACCGATGTGTGGGAAACTTGTTCTTATGGTAGGGTTTGCCACACTGAGGCCTGCCTGGCCAATGGAAGTCAACCTTCTGAGCCGGTTTTCGTATAAGGAAGGAAGGAAGTGGATGTCGCTCTATTAGTATGTTGTTTTTTTATGATAGTGGCTATTGCTTTTTTAGGCAATGTCGCTTTGTATATGATAATGGGTGTCGCTTTATTTGGCATGATTAAATTACTTGCACCAAACTACAGAGGAGATTAATATTACTAAAGAATTCACGCTTTTGAATAGGCGAAATACAAACGGAACAAAGAAATGTACACTAGCAATGAAGCATGTATACACATATAAGAGGGCGAACAAGCATATGCAATGTAATAAAAATGCTTGTTCAATGAGATGCAAAATATCATGGTCCAATATTCGAAAGAAATATTCTATTGATGCATTTCACAAACTGATGGTTCGTGTTTAAAACCCATTGAACAGAATTTCGTCAAAATTACTTTTAAAAATCTAACAAGAAATACACAAGCACATCTAATGATAGCACTTGCAGCTTCTAATGACAAAAGCACTAGCACCAAATGGCAGGTGTACCATCATGCCTCACCTTCTATACACTGCTTGGTGCCATTGCCTGGCATCTGAAAGCCGTAGATATAGTTGTCGGCCTCCACTTCTTCAGGGCGTCTTGGGACTTTCTTATCCATTATTGTTATATCGCAATTATTTAAATTGTACTTGAAAGGCTAGTATCGCTTTCTTCAATCAGTCTCTGATTATCAGAAACCAAAATCTACTCGCAGAGTAAGATCACCAAACTGTAAGACAAAGTTAACAGCATTGTAAATACATTTGTAAGCTGCAATTAGTATTATGTGATAATACGTATGTTAAGAATGCACGCAGGTAATAACTTCTCCAAACATTAACTACGAAATTGATGTTATACTTTTAAAAAATGAGATTACATGTGTTTGATTCTTTTTGGCGTCTTGGTGTTTAATTGTAACGGGCACCTAACTTCAAAATATAGACTGTTTATAGAATTCAATGAAGTTATACCTGTAAATTGACATGTGGTTATGTTATTAAAATATAAAGAATTAATGGGAGCATTAGGTTCGGGCGGGAAAGGTCATTGCTGCTAATTCCAAAAGTCCCGAGTTCAAACCCCGAGGTAGATGAGGATGAGAATAGCAACCAATTAATTTAGAAAATATCAAAATCTGCCGTGTCGATGGTTGGAAAAAGACTGTAGAAGCATAAGCTATAAGCCATATGGCGCTTAACATTCGAACATGAAATATTGATATTTTTGGATGAAATCCCCGTCTTTTCCTAATATTTAAAAAGCACATCTGTACTTTCTCTCTCTCTCTCTCTCTCTCTCTCTCTCTCTCTCTCTCTCTCTCTCTCTCTCTCTCTCTCTCTCTCTCTCTCTCTCTCTCTCTCTCTCTCTCTCTCTCTCTGCTCCAAACATATTTTCCAAGGCTATGAGATCAGTATCTTCAGCAAAATATGGAGAACTTAATAATACAAGATGTTATTGGAAATAATATGTTGGATGTATTAAATGTATAAACTAAGCTTTATTTAAAGACGAAAAATAAAAATAAAGGAATATTCGAATGTAGAAACACAACTTAAATTATACAACTAGGAGAGATATTTATAGATGTGACTTGAACGCACAATAACTATTACTGGCAAAAAGAGTAACATCACATGTAACAAATAGAAACATATTTTTACAAAACAATTTTAATAAAAACTTTAAACTACGTAAAGTATACAACATTAATAGTGTCGTTGGTTGTAGGATAAAATATAAATTTAATATTGGTTATCGAAAATGAATTTTAGAAAATGAAGAAATGAACTATTTGATTCAAATTTGATTTAAATTTATAGATCTACTAATCAGTACTACGCCATGTTTAAAAAATAACAAAAATACCATTGAATAGCCGGGATTTTATCGGAATCATTTAAGTCACTTAATCAGTGTGGGCATTTATTATAGTGTTGTGTTGATTAATAATGTATACAATTTGGTATTAATTTTTTAAAATATGTATTTGAAGACTATGAGTTATTAAATATGACAAATAACTGGCTTGTAATAAATTGATTAAAGAAGAACGAAAAAGAAGTGGATATATTGTGCACCTTAATTGACCTTAATTGCAATGAATTATGTGATTGAATATTTACAATGACTATTATAATAGTAAAATTCATATATATATATATATATATATATATATATATATATATATATATATATATATATATATATATATATATATATATATATTACGGTAATGGAAAATTTAATTTGCAGATAATTACGAAATTCATTATTGTACAAATATGATTATTAATAAACTTATAATATGTCATTTAATTTCAATACATTTAAAACAATCAAAATATCATGCGTTTCTTATGTTGGTATTTTTTAATCCCATTGTGAAAACACATTCTACGAGATCTATGTTGTAAGTTTTCCTTTTTTATCACTACTAAAGAGGTGTAAAAAAATATTACAAAAACGATTCACTACTGATAAAGTATCTAAACAATCCAGCATGTTAGTTAAAATTGTTTGCCCATCTGATATCTCTAGTTCAGTTTTTTTGGCAGTTTTCTTTTTCGTTTGTTGATTTGAATTTCCTTTTAAAATAATTCTTGTATAAATCTGGATGTAAAAAAAAAAAATTTCTTGTTCATTTCGTTTTGTGAATTTTGGTTTTTGAATTTATTAATATTAAAACAATTTTATAACAACAAGTATTAAAAACAAGAAACATACACAAAATTTAGAAAATAAATAAATAATTGAAATGACCGCTACATTTGCTAAACAACATTCGCATTTTAAAAACATAAATTAACCTCATGATATTATTAATAAGAATAAAATACAAATTACCTGAGCTTGCAATAGCACATCAACTTACATCCCCGCTCCTTTTATTACTGGAAATTTAATAATAGACCCATCCCTGTCTCATTAGTTAAATCATCCGCTAATCTCTAATTAATTAAGAGTTCTTTGAATACACAAGGCAGCTTATCGAACGAGTGACAGCATTACATGTTTGTTTTAATAACTGGCATTTGAATTAGGCTATGTCTGAACTGGACGTCACTCACGTCTGCGTCACTCCAGCTTTCAGCAAAAGGAAAATCCATCCTCAAAAAGTTTACAAAATCTGAAGCTCACTAATTAATCACACTCACTAATTACCCTTACCCTTACCCTTACCCTTACACTTACCCTTACCCTTACCCTTACCCTTACCCTTACCCTTACCCTTACCCTTACTCTTACCCTTACCCTTACCCTTACCCTTACCCTTACCCTTACCCTTACCCTTACCCTTACCCTTACCCTTACCCTTACCCTTACCCTTACCCTTACCCTTACCCTTACCCTTACCCTTACCCTTACCCTTACCCTTACCCTTACCCTTACCCTTACCCTTACCCTTACCCTTACCCTTACCCTTACCCTTACCTTAACCCTGGAAGCGAATAATATATAATGACGTTCGTTTAAATATTCTAATGTCTAGATAGTCTAGTTATGTATACATTTTAAATGGGTATGTTATATTAGAAATAATGTAATAAAATAAATAAAATAACAGATGGTCATCACGTTTATCATTCACCAAATGTGTATCTAGTGCCAGCCATAAACAAATTTTCCCACAGAGATGGAACAAAATGGAAAATCCCCACGTAGACTAATTGTTTCAATCCATTGTTGTTATTTCGTGGTTAGCTTTTATGATAATATCTATAATAATAGTTTCGCTGTCTGTGTATGTATCTGTCTATGTATCTGACATAAATAAAAACGTGCATGGTAATACGGAAACGAAATATGACGTCATATTGAGCATGTAGTAGAAAATAATATCCAGCCGGAGAGTGCACACAGTAATAGGACGTCATTGATTCTCGAGTAAACATTGAATTAAAAAGCCAATGTTGTCTAATCTTAAAAGTGGCTTGCGTGAAGAGTTTCTTTCATACAATTCTTCGGGTAGGGGCGAAGCCCATGCCCCGCGTAAGAACGTCTAAGCTGACCCCCCCCCCCCAACTTAAAAGAAATGTCGTCATCGATACTCTATAATAAAATTACAGCCTAATTCATGTGTCTAATCTAAAAAGTAATTTCTTTCATGCAATTCTTCGGGTAATGGCTAAGCACGACAACAGTGTTTCTCTCAGACTATTTTGACAGACCTTCAAGATTGAAACTAAATAAATTAACGCTCATATTTACAATGTCATTAATTGATGAAACATTTATGTATGATTTATGGTCGGCGAAAACAAAAGATAAAATTAGTTTTATAAAAATACAAATAAATAACGAATTTTAACAGAATTATTGAACGTAATGAATCTGTTTGGATCTTGAATGGAATAAGCTCCGCCACTGATGCGAAAATTGAAAAGTAGAAATTTTCAGCCCGCCACGTGTAACCTATTTCTGTTGTCGAGTCTAGACATTAGACGATTGGCCTACAATAAAAACAACTTTTTTTATCCGATTCTCGGATTATGGTAAGGGTTTGTGTTAGGGTTGGAGTTAGTTGGATTGGGGTTTATGAGAGCTTTTACATATAGCAAAGCTTTTATGAAAGAAAGCAGATTAGTTTTATTTTCTTTTTTTTTTGTTCATTTAAAGGCTTGCTATTAGATAGGATTTTTATATTTGTTTTTTGTTCTACTTTTTAGAGATTTCTAATTTATGAAGTCGACACGACTAAAAAAAATTTGCTTTAAAACTGTTTTCTTGTTTTCTAGTTTCGCCACTGGTTTAAATCAAGACGTATTCTAAAATGACTCATCTCTATGTTGGGGACATATGTTTCGTTTGGCACACATCACTTTACATGCAAATCAATAAATTAATCATAAAATTTTTTTAAAAGTTACAAAAAATATGAACTTACAAGAATAAAACTATAGTTGATTCGAAGAGACAACTGCGACCTAAGAGAACGTATACTACTCTATTATACTTTATAGCTTACCTCAGAAGCCAATCAAATTGCTTTTTGAATGCATCCTGTATCCTTAAGCGCCGCCCACACTTATACTCTGTAAGGGGCGGTAACTAATAGACAAAATAGTAACTGCTAAAACGTATAACTAAAATATATATTCACGCACTTCATGTTATTGAAATGATCATGATCAGCCATAAAACAGCGTGTAAGTCCATGAATAATGTATTTTTAAAGAAAACATTCCAACATTATACTTTATTATTTACTTTATTCCTGCAGATACCCAAGAACTAAATTTATACAAGTATGATAATGGATAACAACGAGTTTATTGAAAGGCCTTCTATCACTGGGTATAATTCGTGTATTTGTTAATTTTCCCATCTTAGCGAAAGCAAAAACAAAAAATAATAAAATAAATGTATGCCTGAAAGAAATTCACAAATGTAATATACTAAGAATAATTATTATTATAACAGTTGCAAATGCATAGAATTTAATGTTTCTTCTTTATTTTTAAATCTAAATTTCTATTCATATTCATCAAGCCAAAAATCAGTAGCGTATACAGGGGATGGAGGAGGGAGCAGGGGAGCATCACACCAGGTGTGACGTAACACCATCTGAACCCCCCCCCTCCTCCCCCTCACACACACCGTCACAAACTTACGGAT